GGTAGGACGGCCCAGGGCCGTGGGGACCGGGGTGTCCCCAGCTGGGCTGTGTGGTCCTGCGCTGGACCCGTATGGCAGCGGGGGCTTCCCGTCGTGGTAGGCCCGGCCGGTGGGTAGAAGGACCCCTTCAAAGCGTGAAGGCTTCTTGAGTTTAAGATTGCCTTTGCTAAAGAAAAGAATGACGTTAACAAAAAAGATCTTGGAAAACGGTACATTAACTCGTGTACTTGCTTTGAAAAAAACAGGATCTTTGGGCCATATAACTGATCCCATTTCTGTGATGAAAACACTAAGGGCAGAAACATAAACATTGGCTAAGATTTATTTTTATTGGGGACCAAGATATTTTCTATACATACCCTAAATAGCTGTCATAGTCTTTCATAAGCCATAAAATAACCGCTTTCTGGGTGAATGCTAAGCTAAGAATGCATGCCAACAACTGGTATTTCGGTTGGAAAATGTAGAAATCCAGTTGGTGCTATCATCGGCTCCACATGGTTGTGATAGCCTTACCTGGAGTGTAGCGTGTGGGGTCAGCCCGCGGTCAAAATAGCACGGAGGAGCTGGGGACCACCTTTGGGAAAGCGTAGCCGGTAAAAATCGGTAACTGGAAGGTACACACAACACTCGCATTCGGCAACACCACGGTGTGCTGACAGCCTGGCAATTCAGGCTACTTGGTATGAAACCTGCCTATGTGGCAAGGCTGGAATTAAATTACTGCTCCTGTTGTACCGCGAGACTGAAAACCACAGCTTGAGCACTACGTGGGGACTTTGCTCAGCTCTCCTGGCTGGTCTGTGTATCAGGAAGAGTTGTTTCAGCTTTGTCACCCAGGAAATGCCCAGCTCCTGTGTGTTGGGGGTGCAGGGTCTGTAACTGCACGCAGTCCTCAGTGTCTGGTTGCTTCATTTTGTTCCATGCTTGCACAGATCTACACATAATTTTTCCTGTTCTGTGTCAAACAGTGAAACTGTGCAGTTATCCTGTCATTCTGCTGCACTGAAAATGCTGCTTCTTACTGCCGAGTATATTTTGTCTGTAATGGTCAAGAACCACAGTTAAGTAGTTCGGCTCAAGCTGAGCTTTCATTACACCCCTAACTAATCGTGGTGGTTACCGCTGTTTCCCAATATCCCCGTTACTTTTACATCTTCTATTCCATTTACTCTTTGTCGTTGCTTACCGAATCTCCTAAATGTATCCTTTTTTTTTCTTTATACTGCATAGAAAAACATTCTGTACCACATCTGCATATGGACTGCCAATTGTCACCTTAATCTTTATGTCACTCTGTTCCTCTGTAATTAAAGGTTTGCAGTAACTAGCAATTTGGCCGTCTGGGGCAACGTTGGTATGTGTACAATCGTTTCATAATCTAGTGGTTTTTCTCCTGGTTAGGTGACTTAAACTACTGGGCTGCTGCTGTCACACTGCTGCTCGAAGGCCCTCCAGTCGCGAAGCGCACGGTGCCGGCAGCAGTCGAAGGGCCTCGCAGAGCCCCTGCTCGGTTGTGCCGTGAATGTCTTGCTGTTCTGCCATCTCGGGTTCCGAAGGGCCTCGCGGTTACAGCTGCCAGTCTTCAGGTTTTGGTTGTGCCACGGCAGTTTTATCGATTGGCATGTACTTTGGACTTTGATTAGTTGCTTGGTTTAGTCGGCTCGTTTGGCCAGGCGCTGGTCAGTGCACAGAACGATTGGCAGATACACGAGGGGAGGGCATAGCTGTTCAGGGCAGACTTCTGCTCCTCAGGCAGCTTTTATTTCTGAATACTGGCCACTCCAGCTAGAAGTTTATGCACATATTTTACCTTTATTTGCTTACAGTGAGCATTTACAATTATTTGTATTTGTTAACGGTAAAAGAACTGGCTTTTGAAGAGTAACAACTAAGTATGGGTGGTAAAGCTTTGCAAAATGCCATCCAGAAAACAGAAGAGAAGCAGGGAGATGCCAACGCCTACAGGCACCTGCCGGGTGGAAGTCAGCTG